AGCCAGGAGCCAGGAGCTTCCTCTGAGTCTCCCACGCAGGTGCAGGGTCCCAAGGCTTTGGGCCGTCCTCGACTGCTTTCCCAGGCCACAAGCAGGGAGCTGGATGGGAAGTGTAGTAGCCGGGATTGAAACCAGTGTCCATATGGGATCCGGGTGTGTTGCAAGGAGAGGATTTCACCGCTGAACCATTGTGCAGGGTCCTACTCTGCCTTTCAAAGGAAGGAAGGAAGATGATGGCCCGAGGAGTTGCCACCCATGAGAGGCCCCAATGGGGTTCCAGGCCCTGCTTCCACTTGGCCCAGCTGTGGCCATTGAGGCCATTTGGGGAGCAAGGCATAGCAAATGAAAGATCTCTCTCTCTCTCTCTAGTTGTGCCAATCCAAAACATATGCATCTTTTAAATAAGCCTTAGAATTCAGCAAGGTACTGAAACAATCCTTCATGCCAGGTAATGCTCCTAGGACTGTAATGCTGCGTTGATATAGCCGAACCTGTGAATCTCACATAAAAAGCCAAATAAAGTGATCAAAACTAAAAAAAAAAAAATTTTAAATAAGCCTTAATAAAAAGACACAGAAGGGAATGGGGAGAAGGACCCCACCTTGGACAGGTCACATCTCCTGAGCATCCAGTGCCACGCTGTGTGTTCTACATTTCTCCCACTAGCAGAGAGAGGGAGAAGAGATGGACACCGAGGGACACAGGGCACAGTGACACTGATGCTGAGAAGTGATGGGGCCGGCATCCATGGCTGAGTGGGGGCTGGACCTCTGGCAGTCTCATATGTAGCCTGGGGTCCCCTGGGAGCTGCTGCCACCCCTCCCAGCACCCCAGTTTGCCATCCCCTGCCTCCCTCTCCACCCCACTCCTCCCGGCCGCCATGGTTCTTTCCTACCTTGAGGCTGACGTCACTGGTGCTGCCTTGGCCTTGGGCCAGGTCAGGGCAGCTCCGGCCACCCCAGGGCCTAAGGAAGAAGCATATGAAAAGGAATGCAGAGTCTCCTGTGTCCCAGCACCATCAGCCCTGGACTGGCCCAGTGGTCACACCGCCTTCCCTAGGACCAGCAGGGTGAGCTCCTGAACCCTTGGGAGAGGGCTCTACAGTCTGCTCTCTGTACCTCCACCCTCCGTTGCCCACTCCAACCCCAATGGGAGAGAAAGGACATCACATGGGCTGGGATCAGAACAGAGGACTGTGACTTGGGGCAGCGGTAGAGTAGTTTAAGCTGCTGCTGGGAGTGCCTACACCCCATATCAGAGCGCTGGTTCAAGTAACAACTCCTCTGGTTCTCTACAGTGTTCATTCAAGTCTCCTAGGAGGAGCAGAGGATGGCTCAGGTACTGGGGCTCCTGCCACTCATGTGCGAGACCTGGCTTTGACCTGGTCTAGGCCTGCATGTGACAGGCATTTGAGGCTGAACCAGTGGAGGGAAAATCTTTCTCTTCACTTTCTCTTGGTCCCTCTGCTCTTGAAGTAGGTGAAAGTAACTGTCTTTTAAAAAGGGGGCACAGAGTCAGCATAGTGGCATGACAGGCTAATCTTCCACTTGCATTGCCAGCATCCCATATGGGCACTGGTTTGTGTTCCAGCTACATCACATCCAGTTTCCTGGGAGGCCAGCTGAGGATGGCCCAAAGCCTTGGGACCTTGTACCCATGTGGGAGACCTGAAAAGAAACTCCTAGATCTTGGTTTTGCATCAGCTTAGATCCTTTGAGGAGTGACTCAGCAGATGGAAGGTCTGTTCCGCTCCGTCTCTCCTTCTCTGTAAAATTTGTCTTACAAATGAAAAATAAATGTTCTAAACACTGGGGCAGGACTTGTCTTGGGCAGAACATAGAGACGGGACATTGCTGAAGATCAGCATCTGCTGAGGCCTCCTTCCCGAGGTGTAGCCGAGTGTCGTGCCTACGCGATCACCTCGAAGCTTCACCACAAGCCTGGCAGGTGGCTAGCAGTGCTCCCATTTCTCAGACAAAGACATCGAGGCCCAGAGAGGCAAAGTGACTTGCTTGGATTTACACAGCTCACGAGAGCACCAGGACCGTCCACTCCTAGAGCTGGCTGGACATCACAGTATTGGAAACACCATGGGGCCGTGTCCCCAGGTGGTCAGCAGGGACTGTTCCCAGAGATGCTAAGAACGGAAGCCAAACACAGGCGTGACCTGTGTCCTCCCGCTGGCCCTGCAGCCCCTCCCCTGATTCACCTACACCTGACGCAGTCTGTGAGTGGGGAGCAGGAGGGGTGGAGCTGGGCCTACAGGGCAGGTTTCTGCCAGACAGGGTAAAGAGGGAGGTGGGGGCGGGCAGGGCATTGGCAGGGTGTGGGCACCCCAGGGCACCCAGGCTTCCAGACACAGGGTGAGCTGGCAGCAGCGCAAGCACCTCCCCTCAAGCTGCCCACCCCATGCCCCACCCCTCCCAGGGCATGCTGAAGACAGCTGTGTGGTGATAAGATCGGAGCAAATTGCCAGGTAACTGCATAGACACACAAACACGGGGTGCTGGCACATCGGGTCGGAGGGCAACTGGCCTGTGTGCTCTTGGGCCGCTGGGCTTCCAGCCATGCCTCTCCCAGCCACTCCACTCAGGGGCTTTCCTTCCACGCTGACGTCACTGCTCGCCCGGGGTGGGTGAGAAGTGTGCCAGCCCAGCCCTGGGCACTGGGGCACCCGGGCAGGCAATGACCCCAGGCCAACAGGGCCTCTGCTGACGTGTGCATCCTAACTGTGTGACTTTGAACAGGTGGTGTCACCTCTCTGATCCTCCACTTCCGGGTCAGAATCACGCAGGATTTTACTTTTTAGTGCTGCTGCTGCTGCTGCATGGATCACAGTAAACCGCCAAGCAAGTCGAGAAGACTTCTTTGGTCCTGGAGGACCCTCTGGGTAGCTGCTCAGCAAACGTAGGATGCAGGAGGTGAGAGGGGAGCTCTGCCACACACCGCCAGGGGACACCAAGACCAGCAGTCCCGAGCCTCAGTCCTCCGGATGTCTCCCAAGGGACATTGCTGTCTGCTGGTGTCCACCTGGCTTCGAGAGTTAACCCAAGTAGCCCTGACGCTCGACCAGAACCCAGCGCCCAGACACACAGTCCCATCCAAGACACACACCCCCCTCCCAGCCTCCGACCCTCTTCCCTCACCGATTCTGGGATCTGGCCTCCTCCGAGGTCACCTTCCCCCTGCGCCCCCTCCGGGCCCCTAGTCCAGCCAGGAAGCGAGCCAGACGAGCCCCGACGCCCCCGCGCCGCTCAGCCATGGCGAGGGTAAGGCCAGGACACCTGGGTGCGAGGCCCACCTGGATCCGCTGCACCCCGGGGAGACGCCTCCTCCGGCCCTCCCTTCTCCTGAACAAATAGGGCCCGCCCCCCGCGGCGCGTGCGTGGGGGCCCGACCCAGATGCTGCCTGCGCCCCAGGGACCGCGGCCGCAACCGATCGCGGGACCCCGGCTCAGGATTAACGTCCTGGTCACGCTGCCTTTTCAGGTCCCAGCAGACTCCAGGAGCATGCCAGGCGCTGCAAGTCGGGAGGTGCACCTGCCCCGCGGCGCGGGAAGAACCTCAGGGGCGCGCGGGGAGGGGGGGCTCGGCCGAGGGGCACACTCTCAGCAGTGGGCGGGCCCAGGGCTCGGGGGCAGGGCTCAGACTCAGGGGCAGGGTCCAAGTCTTCGGGGGCGGGGTCCAGATTCAGGGGCGGGACCCGGGGCTCGGGGACGGGGCTCAGACTCGGGGGCGGGACCCGGGGCTCGGGGGCGGGGCTCAGACTCAGGGACAGGGTCCAAGTCTCCGGGGGCGGGGTCCAGGAATCGGGGGCGGGCCCAGGACTCGGGGACGGGGCTCATGGTTCAGGGCGGAGTCCAAGTCTCCGGGGGCGGGGTCCAGGGATCGGGGCGGGACTCGGCTGAGTAGCTCCCCTACCCAGCAGTGGGCGGGGCCCACTCTCAGGGGTCCAAGGGCGGAACCCAGGGTTTGAGGGCGGGGCTAGGGGCGGGGACCAGGGCTAGGGGCGGGACCCGGGGCTCAAAGGTGGAGCCCAGGGCTTGGGGGCGGGGCACACGGTTTGGAGGCGGGGCTCAGGGTTGGGGGCGTGGCCCGGAGCCCGGGGGCGGGGCCTCCCCCGACCCAGGCAGGACCTGACTGGAGGATCTGGTGTCCCCCGGGGCTCCAAAAACCTGCAGGGCCTGCGCTTGGACGCTGGACCATGGATACTAGGAGAGAGGAGTGGAGCAAAGCCGACACCGCCGTCGCCCTGCTCTGCAGAATGCAGTCTCCGCGTCGAGGCGTGGAGGAAAGATGGGCGGGGTAGGAGCTGCCACCTGCTGGAAGTCGCTGGGACTCCACCCCCTGCGTGGGAGCACGCTTTGTCTGAACACGTCCTTATTGAATAAGCGTCATTTATTGTGCTTATAATCTAGGCCTCTAGCTTTCCCCTGACCCACGCGTGTTAGAGTGGACCCCCTGAGACTTCAGGGGAAATGACCCCCAGACTGCCAAGGCCGTCCGCCCCATCCGGGCCCTCTGATGCGATGCTCTTGACACGGAGGGAGCGTCATGCTTCCGGGTCATGAGTGGACGCTGACATCTTTTATGTTCTTCCTGGCTTCCCCTGCCTGACCTCGGGGCATGGTGGCTGCCTAGGAGCTGTGAGTGGGTGGCAGAGAGCAGAGCCACACCCAGCTAAGTGTTAGAGACAGGAAGGAGAGCGATGCTCTGGTCTGGGTCACAGAGGCGGGGGTGCAGTGCAGCTCCCTCGGTTGGGCTGCCCCGGCATGTGGTAGCGGCCTGAGCCACCTCCCTCAGGCAGGGTTTGGGTTCTGCTCCTTGTCTGTGACTTAGGTGGGACCAGACCCTCGTCCTGGCTCACCCACCAGCTGGTCAAGCCTTGCAGGATGCTGCAAGGTGCCACCTCACACCCCAAGCAGGGTATCAGAGTTTAGGAATACATGTGGCTCCTCCAATGCCCAGTGTTGAAGCGCAGGAAACCCACTAAGCCTTTAAGAAAACCTTTTAATTGCTTGCGCCCCGCCCCTCCACCCCGTTCCAGGGCTGTCCTGGTCCTAGGGCTCACATTCACTGCTCTTGCCTTCTTGGAGATGCAGAAGACATCCTGTCCACATCTCAGCCCATCTGCTTCTCCGATGACATGGGCACCAGATCTAGAGTTCCCTGGCACCCCTGGTCCAGCTGGGCCATGGAGGCCCGGGTCAGGGGGGTGTGAGCCCTTGGGATGTGCAGTGGACGGGGCAGCTTCAGGTGACCGTGTTGGCTGCAGGGACCTGGCCAGATGCTGCACTGGGAAGGTGGAACCCCCGTGTGCAGGCGCAGGTGGGCCTGGAGGTTGCTGGAGCTGCTGAAGCGTTTGTGGCACATCTGCCAGGGAATGGGCAGTGGCATTAGCCTTGAGCAGGGTTGGTCCGGGATCTTTGCCCTGCTCCCCATTGTGGAAGCACACCCCCCACCACCCCAGCTCCCCATCAGTGCAGGCCAGGACACTTTCCACAGTGCTTTCTGCCAGGGACCCTCTATCTGGGGCATCACAGCCATGTAGACCCAGGTCAAGGTCTTTCTTTTACTCCCTGGGTGACCATGACCGTGTATTAAGTAACTACATGTCTCCCTGCTAACCCAAGATGATGAACTCCTCATCTCACAGGCCCTTGGATGACCTTGGGATGAGATGACCACGTAAGAGCCCTTGGGAGTGAAGCTGCAGCTTTAGTGGAGACCACCGCTTTCCTTCTTCCCGCCCAGGGATGTGGTCAGGCCCCAGGAAGGAGGGAGCTGGTGGCACTGACTGCACACTTGCGTGCTGGAGTAGTTGGCACACAGCAGGGCATTTAACTCCCCCAACTCTGGGAGGTATGCCTCCTCCAGGATCCCCTACCAAAGTCTTTGTTCTCCCTACACATGTGCAGTTCCTCCTCCAGGTGCTGGGGACCTCAGATCCCCTTCCAGACTTAGAGGCCATGTTCATAGCCCCCACCGCCTCCAACGTGAGCTCCCCAGCCCCCACCTTTTCTGTGTCCCCTTGCTCCATGGGGCTGGGGAGGGGAGGCCATAGGTGCATCCCTCTGGAGACCAGCAGGTTACAGGTGGGGGGGTGGGTAGCATCTCACCGGACACTGGTAGGGCCGCTCCCCTGTGTGCACCAGGTGGTGCTTCTGCAGGTGGGCGAGCTGGGTGAAGCTCTTGAGGCACAGGACACACTGGAATGGACGTTCCCCGCTGTGCACCCTCAGGTGGACCTGCACCAGGTGTGGGAAAAAAGTGGCCAGCTGCCCAGAGTAAAGGCCTCCCAGAGGACATCCTGGCCTCTCAATTCACTTGCTTCATTACCACCCCCCAGGCTGCCCCTCCTCCTTCTGTGGCCCTGCAGGGGGAGATAGCCCGGTAAGGGGTGTCCCAACTACACCCTGGAGTAGGGCTACTCAGAGTGACCTGTGGCTAGCAGCATCAGCTCACCTTGGAACATTCAGAAATGCAGATGGCCAGGCCCCACTCCTGACCTGCTGAACCCAAGTTGCCAGGGCTGGGTCCCACTAGCTCAGCAGGTGGTTTGAAACTCAGCAGAGTTTAAGAACATCACCCAGGGTGGATGCGGTGGTGCATAGAGGTGAGCTGACTCGTGGGATGCTGGCATTCCGTATCAGAGTGGTGGTCTGAGCCCCACCCTGCTCATGCACCTGATGGGCAGCATGTGGTGACCCAAGCGCTTGCGTTTCTTCCTCCCATGTACGAGATCCAGCTGGAGTTCTTGGTCCCTGCCTTTGGCCTGGTCCAGCCCCAGCTCTGACCAGAATTTGGACAGTGAACCAACAGATGGAGGATATGTGTGTATGTGTGCATACGTGTGTGTTGCTATACCTTTCAACCACATAAATAAAAGTTCTTTAAAAAGAACACCTGACTGGGCCCGGCACAATGGCTCAATTGGCTAATCCTCCTTCGTCAAGTGCCAGGATCCCAGTGGGTGCTGGTTCGTGTCTTGGCTGGTCCACTTCCCATCTAGCTCCCTGCTTGTGGCCTGGGAAAGCAGTCGAGGACAGCCCAAAGCCTTGGGACCCTGCACCCGCATGGGAGACCTGGGAGAAGCTCCTGGCTCCTGACTTCAGATTGGCATAGTTCTGACTATTGCGGTCACTGCTTAGCTCCGACTGTTGCAGATATTTGGAGAGTGAACCAGTGGATGGAGAATCCTTCTATCCTTCTCTCTGTAAATCTGCCTCTTTTTTTTAAAGCCAGTGCTGACTATATTTCAAGTCGTCACGGTGGGGTTTTGGGAAAAGTTTTTAATTAGCAATAATTGCGCCTCGAATAAACCTCATTGGCTACAATACTACCACTGCACAAAGCTAAATCTGCCTTTCTAAAATCAGTACATTTTAAGAAGAGAGAGAGAGAGAGAACACCTGACTTAGAGAATCCGGTCGAGCAGCTCCCCAACAGCCACAGCTTTTCCTCAACCTCAGCAGGTGCCTGCTTGCACAGCTTCCCCTTTTTTAGGCCAACATACAGCAGTGGGCCTTCTGGCGGCCCCTGCTGGACAATGGGGACAATGACACCCAACAGCACCAGTGCTGATTGTGGGGATTCCACTTGAAAAGGCTAGTTGTTAGGACTGTTGGGTCTAGACTCACCAAAATCTGCCCATCGCCCATCTGGTCTTTAGGACAATAATGAGGCCAACTGGGAGTCCAGAAGGGTTGGTTGCCCAGGCGAGAGCTCTGCACTAGAGGGTAAAGGACTGAAATCAAAGCCTAACTGTACACCACTGCATCAATATGAACTTGGGCAAACCCTGCCCTTCAGGAGCCTCAGTTTCTGCATTATGGATTTATTGAGACAATCACTTGCTGCAGGCATGGGGGTACATCAGGTTAAACCACCACTTGGGATGCCCACATCCCACATCAGAGTGCTAGCTCAAGTCCCAGCTACTTCATTTCTAAACCAGATCCCTACTAGTGCATCTAGGAGACAGCAGATAATGGCTCAAAACCTGGGTCCCTGCCACCCAAGTGGGAGACTAGAAGTTCTTGGCTCCTGGCTTCATTCTGGCTCTGTCTCAGCTGTAGCAATTTGTGGAGTGAACCAGTCGATGGAAGATTCTCTCTTTGCACTTCAAATAAATAAATAAATAAATATAGGTAAATCCCTGGGCCCAGCACGGTGGCCTAGCGGCTAAAGTCCTCGCCTCGAATGTGCCAGGATCCCATATGGGCACCAGTTCTAATCCCGGCAGCTCCACTTATCATCCAGCTCCACTGCTTGCAGCCTGGGAAAGCAGTCGAGGACAACCCAAAGCCTTGTGACCCTGAACAAGCATGGGAGACCCAGAAGAGCTCTTCGCTCCTGGCTTTGGATTGGTGCAGTGCTGGCTATTGTGGTCACTTGGGGAGTGAATCATCAGACAGAAAATCTTCCTCTCTGTCTCTCCTCCTCTCTCTATATATCTGGCTTTGCAATACAAATAAATAAATCTTTTTTAAAAGTAAATCCTTAAAATAAATAAAGGCATGAGACGACATGATAGGCAGGCTTACAGAGTGGAGAGGACTTTGGTAGTGCTCTTGCCCTAGGTCTCTTCCCCCACAGTAGCCCAAGGTCGCTTCCCAGTAGTGCTTTTTCATGCCAAGATCCTTGATGTTAGAAACAGGGTGGTGGGGTGGCAATGGGCACTGTGGGGGTTATAGGGCCTGGGGAGCAGGTACCTTGAGGTTGGAGAGCTGCCCGAAGCTCTTGCTGCACACGTTGCACTGGTACAGGATCTTGCCATTCTCTTTCTTCAGCGGGTAAGGCAGGGCTGCAGTGCCTGCCCGGGAGCTCAGAGGGAGCCGCTTGGCCAGAGAAGCCACACCAGCATGCTCCAGCCCTGGGCAGTAGGTCGGCAGACTTGCTCTGAAGCTTCGATTGGGGGACCTGGAGGGTCGAGCTTGACCAGAGGTTTGAAAAACTCGCAGGCAAGGAGACAGAGTGCCCTGCTGTGAGCTATGGTACCCAGGTTCGTTGGCCGTCGTCAGCAAGCTAGGCACTGCCATGGGAGGATAGCTGGTGCCTTGAGGCACCATGAAGAGGTAGCGGCCTTGGACAGAAGGCTGAGCCCCATAGGGGAGTAGGCAAGGCGGGGGCAGGAGCAGTGGGTGCCCAGGGTAGAACTGGGGGAGACAGAATGGGAGCTGCTTGGTGACGGGGGTGGAAGTGGGGCTAGGGCACTTCCTCTTCAGCCAGGGGATTGGAGAAGGGCTGTAAAGAGGAGGAAAGGACAGACAAGCAGGGCCCAAGCCAGCTTTGTCCAGCCAGCTTCCCGTCTCGTCGTTGCATGATGGGTACTTGGCTATGAGCTTCCTGTCATCCATGGAACTGGCCGGTGGCTCCTGTGCCTGGTGTTCTGAGCAGCAAAGGAGAGAAGGTCAGAACCCCATAGCCTGGGGTCCTCCATCAATGTGGTCGAGCTTGGGTTTCAGTCTGCTGGGCATCCTGGCCATGGCACCTGCCTGTCTGCCCAGTTGCTTCTGCTCTGCAATTACACTTGCAAGTGAAGGGTACTCCAACACTTGGGTAGTGCCCAGGGAGAAAAGTCAGTGGTTGGGCCTCCAAGCAGGAAGGCCAAGTGGGCAACTGGGCAGATTGGCTTGGAGTCTGATGAAGAGGTTGGATCTGGAGACGCAGATACAAGTGCCCTGGACCATAGGTGATCGCAGGGGGATGACATCTGGCCAGCTGTGTCCAAAATGACAGGGGCTGAGCATGTGGCTGAATTGGCGTACATTAAAATGAAAACGGAACATCAGTTCCTAGACTTGTTAAAATAATTTTCATTAGAAAGGCAGAGAGAGAGAGTTCTTCCATCCCTTGGTTTACTCTTTTTATGTTCACAAGAGCCAGAGCTGGGCCAGGCTGAAACTAGGAGCCAGGAAATCGACTAAGCTCACTAAGCTGAGTGGCAGTGGCCCAAGTACTTGAACCATCCGCTGCTGGCTTCCCTCGGTCTGCATTAGCAGAGAACTGGATCAGATGTGGAACTAGTACTCGAGCCAGGCGCCTAAGGGGTACTCACATCTCAACTATAGGGCCAGACCTCTACCTCATTAGCCACATTTAAAGTATATTAAAGATGCCAGTGTCTGGGTCCCAGACCTGGCTCTGCTTCTGATTCCTGCTAATGCCCACCCTGGGAGGCAGCAGGAGATGCTTTAAGTGCTTAGAAGACCCACACTGGGTCTTCCCGGGTTCCCAGCTTCTGCATGGCCCAGCCCCAGTTGTTTCAGACATTTGGAGAACAAAGTAGCAGATGGAAATTTTCTGCCTGTCTCTCTTTGTGCCTTTTAAATACAATAAGCATAACAAAATTTAAATTAATTAGGAAAAAAAATCCAAAATGTTCAAATGATGTCCAGACAGCACAAGGATAGAATATTCCCATTATTGCAAGAAGTTCTGCCAAACAAGGGGCCATTGCCAACCCGGAGCCTTTGGCTGGACCTCCACCAGCTCCCATGCCATGGCCCACTTGCTCTGTGCAGGTCTTGCCATCCTGAAAACCCCTTGCACTTCAGGCCTGAATCCCAGAGCAAACTGAGACAATAATAGGTGTATGAGACTTGGCAATTCTCTGTGACACTTTGCTCCTCCCCTTCCCATGCCAAAACAGTGTCCCCCCACATCCAGCCACCACCAAGGGGTCCTGGGCTTACTCATGCTCAAGGGCTCCTCTCTGAGCTCCTGTGAGGGTGTGTCCCGGGGTGCTGGCTGCAGCATGCACTTGTATATGTCTAGGTTGTTGGGGCAGGCGAGCAGGGCCGACCTGGCCGATCCCAGTGGCAAGGAACACAGACAGCCACGAGCATCCTCTGTATCTGCAAGTGGCTTGCAGGTTGAGGGCACCTGGAAGGTAGGGGCTAGGAGAATCATGGCCCACAGCCCATGGCCAGGACTCTGCGGCTCCATTCCTGGTTTGGTTTCATCCATCCCCACATCTGTCATTCAAATGGATTCCCCTTCCCTTGACCGCGTGTATTCCCCCACAAGGACTTTATCTCCCCCTATAGCTAGACTAGCATCTAGTCCTAGCCTCTTCTCTACTCCCACCCACCCCCTAAGCCCCCTCACGCATTCTCCACCCCTCCTACCATGAGCAGAGAGAGGCGGCAGCCCCACCCTACCTGGTCGCCTTGGCAGAACTGGAAGTCCAGGCTCGGGGACAGGGAGTCCCCTGTGTCTCCCAGGGCCTTGGTCTTGTGGCAAAACCCCAGTTGTGCAGCTGATTCTCTCTTGCTGTCCCCATTGCCTGCTGGGAAGGCAGGTGAAGCACAGGTAAGCTGTGTCAGCTCTCCAATCAAAAGAGCTGACTGAGCTGCTTGTGTCTCCCTCTGGCCTCAGTTTCCCTGAATGCAAAATTGGAGGGTTGGAACAGCCGATGTGTCAGTATTTCCTTGAGGCAGCATTTGCAGGCCAGTAACGCTCTCCTGGCAAGAGTAGAAAGGGGGTTCATGGAGACAAACCAGTCAGAGGTGAGAAGCAGAGCTGGCCAGAGAGAAGGAAGACCCGAGGGAACATTCCAGACTCCACAGGGCCACAGAGACGTGAGGTATCACCCCTGACCACCCCCTTACTGAAGGGAGACCTTGGGCTTGGCCACCCAGAGGCTCGTCACCATGTCTCCTCACCGTGTCCTGTGGCTCAGACTGCCTTCTGCCCAGCTCCCCCACCAAGGACCATGACCAAGTGAGACAGGCATACCCAAGTGCACCCACCACCCTGACCAGACCATGCCTCAAGCACTCAGCTCTCAGCTCACTGGTCACCTGCTTCTCTGATGTCTTTCATCAGAGTCCACACAGCCCAGGGGACACCTCAGCCCCTGCCCCTTCCCTTCCTAACCCCAATGTCCCCTCACACTCCACCTGTCCCTCCAGCATCTCAGGCCTCCAAACCTGTCCTTCTTCATCCCTCAGCCCTGCTTCAGGTCTCAGAATAGACACCAGCCCCACCAACGAGAGGCCCTGCACCTGGCTCTGTAGCACTCATTTCTGCCGGTGAGGTTTAGCTGGGTGGTAAGCAGGCAGCACCGCCTATGCCCGGGGCCCCAGGGACTGTGAGAGGTGCCAGGAAGGCGCTGCATTTGAAGCCACCTCAGATAGGAAGAGGGGGGCCAGCCTGGGGGCCCTGTGAGACTGACAGGAGGGAGCACCTCTCCCCGCCTCCACCTGCTGGGGTGACTCCACAGACAGCTTGCTGGATTTCTGGTTGTGGTGGTCTAAGGATCTAGAAGGTCTGTGAGTGAGTTTGTGAGAGTGTGAGAATGAGTGTGTGAGTATGAGTGAGTGTATGTAAGGGTGAGTGAGTGTGTGAGAGTGTGAATGAGTGTATGTGGATGAGTGAGTATGCGTGTGTGAAGGGGGTTGTATGTGTGTGTGTCTGAGTGTGTGTGTGAAGGGGTTGTGTGTATGAGAGAGACTGTGTGTGTGTGTGTGTGTGTGTGTGTGTGAAGAGGGTTGTGTGTATTGTAAAGGGGGTTGTATGTGTGTGAAGGGGTGTGTGTATGAGAGAGACTGTGTGTGTGTGTGTGTGTGTGTGTGTGAAGGAGTTGTGTGTATATGAAGGGGGTTGTATGTGTGTGTCTGAGTGTGTGTGTGAAGGGGTTGTGTGCATATGCTGTCCTCCCTCCATTCTCAGAGAACACGCAATGCACACCAAGAGGAGGGCGGAGTGGACTCAGAGACGCTGGGGTTCTGGGAATGGGGACATAGCGGAGCGGTGGTGACAGCACCTTGATCATGACAGGCAGCAGAGGCTACGGAGGAGAACAGAGCAGGGTCTGGTCTCCAGGATACAACACCCTCCTCCAGCTTGGTCCATCTCAGCACCTCGTCTTAGGAAATCCTCATTTTTATGTATTGATCTTCGTTTTGTTGGAATGACAGAGATGGATAGTCTTGTATCTGCTGATTTATGCCCCAAATGGCTCCAACATCCAGGGCTTAGTCAGGCTGAAGCCAGGAGCCAAAAACTCCGTTTTGGTCTCCCACAGGGGGGCAGGCAGGAACTTGAGCCATCACTTACTTCCTCCCAGAGTGCGCAGGTGATCAGCAGGAAGCTGGATCAGAAACAGAACCAGGCTCAAGCCATGGCACTGTATGTGGAACGCTGGTGTCCAAGCGGTCTGTTACTCACTCAGCCAAGTGCCAGCCTCCGATCCGGGAACATTCTACACTCCCCTCCAGGAGGCAAGCTGAGGCCCCAAGAAGGCAAAGGTAATTCAAAGACACCCAGAGCAGGTGGAAGGCAGGAACGTACACGCAAAGGCCAGCCAGCAGCCTTCTTGGAGAGGAGCAGCTTCTCCATTCCTGTCTGAGAAGGTGCATCACCCCAGGGGCCTCACCCAAGTTTTCATGTGTCTGAGTCAGGCCCCGAGTGACATACTCCCTAGCCAGCGTGTTCAGTGACACAGCCCTTGTGAGCTTTCCAGATCCACCCCAGTCATGCCACCCAGGTGGCCTGGAACACCCGAGGGCACCTTGGACGATCCACCAGGGGCAAGGGGTCTGTGACACCATGTCTCTGCCCCTCACTTCAGCTGTTGCCCCCATCACTTCTACCACGATTTCCCCCATGACTGATCCCTACACAAGAACAAGGACCACTGTTTGCTCATGTAGACATTTGTCAAGTGTTTTTGTGTGTCCAGCCCCCAACACACACCTGCCCTCCCACCGTGAGGCAGAAAGCAAGACTCTAAAAGTCAAAATGGCCAAATGTTTAATTCCAGCTCCTTCCTAAACACGAGGTGCAGGTGCACACCCTCTAAACCAATCCGATGTCCCCACCCAGACTGTGGACAAGAAGCTAGGGGCCCAGGGGTGACAGGTAGGACGAGCTCAACTCTCTGAATACTGTGGTGCCACATCCAACAGAGGAGGCCCGAGTCCCAGGGTCAGTTTAGCGCTGTGATCCTGCCTGCCACCAGAGTCCCTTGATCCAAGCCTGGTCCTGCAGCCTTCCCAGGCCTTGCTTCAGCATCCCCAACATCTTCTCAGTAAGTCATCCCTCTGCTTATATGCTCCTGAAATGACTCCTAGAGCCCACAACCAAGAACCCTGTGCTACACACATCCAAAATGGACGAGGAAACCACAGGGCTGGGGCTGGGCGAGCCCATGGGTCGGTCCACGGCCAACGTCTCTGCTGACTCTCCATGAGCCTGGCCCTGTGCTAGGCCATCACATGCTTTATCCCATTTAATCTTCACCGTAAGCCTGTGTGCGTGGATTTATTGTTCTCACGAGCTACAGAAACTCAGAGTAAGCAACTTACCCAGAGTCATACAGGTAAGGAGCCAAGAGCTCTCTAGTGCCAAATGTCAGACTCTTGCCATTTCTTGCCAAGGTCAGTGCCATCTGCCCCTCCTCCTCTTTCTTCTGCTCTGTCATGCCCAGACAACCCTACCCAGTACCCCTTCTGCAATACCTCTTCAGCACCCCTTGCAGCTGCTGCAGGTCACCAAACTCCCAACTACAAACCCCCTAGGCCTCTGATGAGCCTGCCTCCTCTGCAGCCTGACTGGAACCACAGGGTCAGACCAGGCACTTGGTGCCTGGGAGAGCCCACATTTCCACCAGGAATTCATACAACTGCAGCTCTGCCCACCCCCCACCCACCACCACTTTTCTTAGCATCACATATTGCCCCTTGCTCCTATTAAAGTCTATAGCTTGGGCCCGGCGCGGTGGCGCAAGTGGTTAGGTCCTCGCCTTGCACGCCCGGGATCCCATATGGGCGCCGGTTCTAATCCCGGCAGCCCCACTTCCCTTCCAGCTCCCTGCCTGTGGCCTGGGAAAGCAGCTGAGGACGGCCCAAAGCTTTGGGAACCTGCACCCGCGTGGGAGACCCGGAAGAGGCTCCTGGCTTCGGATCGGCATAGTATCGGCCCGTTGCGGCTCACTTGGGGAGTGAATCATCGGACGGAAGATCTTCCTCTCTGTCTCTCCTCTCTGTATATCCGCCTTTCCAATAAAAAATAATAAAAATAAATCTTTAAAAAAAATAAAAAATAAAAAAAATAAAGTCTATAGCTTTCCGGGGTGGGACAAAAATGGAAGGAGTCTTGGACATTTCCAGGTCTCCAACATGCCGAGTCCTTGGCGTGGTCAGGAGCTGGCCTGGGAAGTGGACGGAGGACACAGGCCTCAAGATGCCCCTCCGTGAGACAGCCTCTACTGCCACACCCCTCCCAGGGCCCTGCCGGGTCCCCTGTTTGGTCAGCCTCTGTGCCTGACTATGATGCCACCTTGTCCCCTAGCAGGTGGCTCAGGGGTGACATCACAACCTTCTAACTCCTCGGTGACTCAAGCAGACTGGCAAGTGTTCAGGAAGGAAAGCAGGGGAGTTGCCTCCAGGATGAACGGGCGGGGGTGGGGGCCCTAGTGAAGAGGGACCCGTAAAGGTGTCAGGTCCCCAGGACTGAACACCTGCTTCCTGCTTCCTTTTGTCAAATACAAAAAAAAAAAAAAAAAAAAAAAAAAGCACATGAGTGGCTAACATTTAAAACAGCAGAGTATAAGGGGGGGAGGCCAAAACTCCTCCCTAGTCAGTGCTCCCTGTGGTCAGTGTGAACTGCACAGCATTTATGCTCCGAGGTAGTTTTCTAAGCATCAAGAAGCAGGTATTAAATGGATAAGTACATACATACATACATACATAACTTTTAAAAATTTTTTTTAAAAAGAAACAGGTAGGGCCCGGCGCGGTGGCGCAAGTGGTTAAAAAAGGTCCTCACCTTGCACGCCCGGGATCCCATATGGGCGCCAGTTCTAATCCCGGCAGCCCCGCTTCCCTTCCAGCTCCCTGCCCGTGGCCCGGGAAGGCAGTCGAGAACGGCCCAAAGCTTTGGGACCCTGCACCCGCGTGGGAGACCCGGAAGAGGCTCCTGGCTTCGGATCGGCATAGTATCGGCCGTTGTGCTCACTTGGGGAGTGAATCATCGGACGGAAGATCTTCCTCTCTGTCTCTCCTCTCTGTATATCCGCCTTTCCAATAGAAAAATAATAAAAATAAATCTTTAAAAAAAAAAAAAAGAAACAGGTACATGAAAAAAATTGTTAAAAAGATGTACCAGGCCCAGTGTGGTGGCCTAGTGACTAAAGTCTCGCCTTGCACACCCGGGATCCCATATGGGCACTGGTTCTAATCCCGGCAGCCCCGCTTCCCATCCAGCTCCCTGCTTGTGACCTGGGAAAGCAGTCGAGGACGGCCCAAAGCCTCGGGACCCTGCACCTGCGTGGGAGACCTGAAAGAAGCCCCTGACTCCTGGCTTCTTCGGATTGGCTCAGTTCCGGCTGTTGCAGCCACTTGGGAGTAAATCAGCGGAAGGAAGATCTTCCTCTCTGCATCTCCTCCTCTCTGTATATCTAACTTTCCAATAAAAACAAATAAATCTCCACAAGAAAGATGTTTCCATCCATGCACATTGTTCTGCAGCTTTTTCTAACCGCTCATCCACTGTAGCTGCCATTTTACGCCGTGAACTTGCACCTCTGCCCCTCTTCTTCCTGGCTGTGTAGTGTTTCATCACAGAGGCGCACACACCATTCACACGCTCCTCCAGCACTGCCCTAGGAGCGGACTAAGGGCTTTCTCTTGTAAAGATGTGTTCTATTTTTTAAAAAAAGACTTTTTTTTTTTGTTTGAAAGGGAGATAGGGAGGAGATTCATCTATTGCTCCCCTCCCCCAAACAGCACCAAAGGCCAGATCTGAAACCAGATCGCCTTCCAAGGGTGCAGGGGTCCAAGGACTTCAGCTGTCCTGCTGCTGCTTCCCCAGACCATTAACAGGGAGCTGGATGGCAAGTGAATCAGCCAGCACTCAAGCTGGTATCCACACAGGACACCAGCCTACAGGTGGAGGCTACTATGCCATGGTGCTGGCCCCCAGGAATTTGCCATGTTCACCTAAGACTGGAAAGGTCCCCTTGGACAGCGTCAGTGTGCAGAGCGTGGAAGAGCATCAGCTTACAGGCTTCTGCCACTGCTGGGGAAATCTCAGCAAGCCACTCAGCCTCTGGGTTTGTTTCTCCCTCTGCTGAA